AGCGAAGAGGGTCGAGTGAATAGCCGGACAATTAAATTACATACACAAAACTCTGTATCATATAATTTTTAAATAAACATATCTTTACTATACTAAATACCCGGGTTACATCTAGACACTACTTATTAATTACATTGGCACACTCTTATTTATTCAAATAACTAAACGTTTTTACTGTGCATTTTTGTTGTTAATACGGTATTTACATTAGACGATTTTACAGGCAATTTTAGAGGAGATAAGTTGAGTCAAAAGTTGGCTGGTGCAAGAAATTTAGCAAATGCGCGTAAAAGCATGGAGTAGGTATACGGCTGTGTTGCCGCGATTCTCCAGCATCTTGCCCAAGGAGAATACATATTGGTGGCTATCGCAGAATCCATAGTAGTCCGGGTTTTCATAAAATCTACGAAAAAGCTAACACTTATGGAATTCTTCACTGGATACATCACATATTTGAGTCCATGATTCAGTAGGATTAGGGTCGCTGCCTAGCAGCAGTACAATGCAATTGTAGACACGTCTCTTGAATTCCTCGTCCTCGTAAAATCTGAAGAAAAAATAAACAGATGAGTAATATATCTTTTTATAAGCGCATTAAACGCGTCTCCCGAAAACTCTCGTCTTTTGAGTTATGACGGTATTTTAGTTTTTTGGTGATATGCAATTTCGGTATCATATAATGGATTTCTTGTTAAATTTTATTAAACTCAGCATAAGGCTGAATGAAAGTTTTTTCGGGCGAAACTCAGAATAAGCCAAAGTTCGAACAGTACTTACCTCTTTTTTGATTCCTTGTATAAGTCTTTCAAATCTCCAATCGTCCAGAAAATTTGGGAAGCGGTCCTCTAAGTCCACAATCAGCATAACGAAATGTGTTCACCAATCGCCTAAGTGACGCGTAGAATATCGTGCCCCAGAAACACTAACAAATGACAAGTGGACTCTCAAACGTAATTGACCAATGTGCATCTATGTGATACGTTGCTTGTGGCAAGTTGGTAGGTTAACGCCAGACCGTAAGAGGTTGGAAATCACACGAACAGCATAATCCCTTCATTGGATATAAAAAAATTGTTATAAATTTTTGCATTAACATAACCACAGGTGGCGATTGTATATCATGTTTATTTATTTCGTTGGCTATATCTCTGGGCGATTTATTTGTGCCAGCAGTCTATAGTGCTTTTGCCCAAGACAAGATACTATTGCACTGATAATAATCAAATTTAGCTGAAGTTGCATTCACATGTGATATAATAGCTGGTGTCGGCAAGCTGTGGGAATGCCCAGGAGATGGCGTTTGCTCAGCCCTCATTGCACCGACGGCGGTGGGCACTACTGCTGGCACATATTTTGCAACAACTGCAATGGTTGCAGCGTTTTCTTCTGCAACAATAACCTGCAATGATAAAATGTCCTATAATGTCGACGAACAAAAATATAAAATTGAGAATGACTAACCTTACTCCAAATTGCTAATCGATCCTTTAGCTTCATGTTCTCATTTTCCAACCTTGTGTACACTTCTTCATCTTCCAATTCAATTGATATATGTTCGCAACAGAAAGAAATTTGCATTAATCAATTGTAAATACATGAAATCATAAATTTATTTAATTTTTTGCCATTTCACAAACAAGAAATATAAACTCACCGCGATGTGATACAGAAAAAAAACCAACAGGACTGCATTTTCTTGGTAAACAACATTTTCCACACAAGCGCTCAGAGCAATCTGATCCGCAAAATTATTTTATGAAAAATAATAGTTGAAAATAGTTTTTCACACGATTATCACATTAACTCATAAGTGCAAATTATTGTGATTATTTTTAGTTGAATATAATTGTATTACCTTAGACTTTTTTTAATGTTTTGTAATATTCATTTTTTTGGGACGCAAAAGCAACCATGCGCTCAATTTCTTGTGGGGAAATTTGGTCCCCATAAAGGACTTTCACCACGAAACAGCTACAAAAACAAAAACCTTTTCTACTGGTATACTGTGGGTGGACTTCGGTCGTACAAAATCCACAAAATCCCTTTGTCCATCGCTCGCCAATGTACAAGCTTCGATCGCTTCCTCACTAAGGCACAGCTGTTGCGGCGGTGGATGTGGCTCTTCCGAAGCCATCGGGTTATATAGCCTGATCCGCATGTCGTTATGGCGCGCATACTCTACGTACCCGTTACCGAGGTGTCTGGCGTCCTGCGTAGTGATGGAGAATTCGCCCTGCCTTTGGCATACCGTGTTGGCTACCGCTCACTGCTTGGCCCGCAGTCGTCGGATTGTACGCTTACGTGTGAGGATTCGTGCTCCATTTCATGCTCTTCGCTCGCCAAATGTGGCGCATTGTTTGCCAAGTACTCTGCACCCCAATAGGCTGCCATCTCTGCTTCCTCACTATTGTGAGGCAGTACGAACGGCTGCGTATCCTCGTCGCCGATTTCTTGTTGTTGCCTGCCACCTTCGCTGGAGCTACTTGGCCGGCCAGCATCGTCATGCTCGCCCCTGGTACTGTTGTTGTCGCTTGAATTGCTCGACCGGTCTCCACCGCTGCTGTCGCTTCTACCGTTCGGTTATACGCCTTATGCGTGCGCGCAGAACTCCGCCTTCCGCTGGTTCTGCCATAAAATTTGCCTGCTGCTGCTTCATAGTATTGTCCACTTTTCACACTTGTGCCTTGACGACCGCGGCACATCCTTTTTATTGCCGACAGTGGCCATTGCGCGACCAACTGTATTTTCCTTCATTTTCGGCACTTTTTCAGCAAAATTTCGGTAATTTTGCTGCCGTTTCATTTTCACATTGTGTATTTTGTCTTTCTTTTGTTTTTCTTTTGTTTATTTGTTATCCTCGCACAGCTGTAATTTGGTGTCGGGGTTCCTGACTATCCATTAGTAGGGCTGATGTAAACCGTAGAAGATTCCGGGTTGCCATTGCGGTATTGCAAATATTATTATTTTTATTTATTTATTTATTTAATATAATCTAGAAATGCAAGATTTCATACAGGTTGTTAGATACTTATAAATAACTACATAAACATTTCATTTAATAATAACTTAAAGTTAGATTTCGTTAACGAAAAGTCAATCGTACAAGAGTTTGGGAGCAAGTTAAATTCTTTCATAGCCCTTAGAATGGAAGAGTTAGAAACGTAAATAGTTCTTACTCGTTCCAGAAAAAAAATATCATGATTTCGAAGGCTCCTAACGGTAATATTGAAGTGAATACGCTCAAGTAGATAAGGAGAATCAGTCGCACCGATTATTATATCAAATATAAATGTGAGCGAGAGAATAATTCGCCTACTATTTAACGATTTAAGGTTTATGAGAAGACGTCTAGAACTATACGGGGGAATCGGATCCGCAAAATTTAGAGCGTGGAGAGCAAAGCGTACAAAATTTTTCTGAACTCTCTCAAGTCTTTTGATATGGCAATCATGGTACGGTCTCCAGATGAAAACAGCATATTCAAGTTTCGGTCGTACGAGAGAATTATATAGTAATTACCTATGTGATAAGAGGTAGAAATAAGAGAACGGGACTTAGAGTAATGGCGTTTTCTTTTCCCGAAAAAAATTTCACCTTCTTATGTAGCAACATTATCAGAGGGCAACATTTTAAAGAAAGAGCACGAAATATGCATGCGAAAATGCTGAGAAAAGAACAAGAAAACTTGACAGCCCAGGGTAGAATAAATGCAACATTATTTCTAGAAAAGAAAACGCTTTAAGAGATATGAAAGCACTTATTTATGTTTAAATTAAGATGGTTTTTAATACATCATTCAGCAACATTATTAATATCAGATTGCAGCAACTCTGCATCTAACTGACTTGTTATAGTAGCGAACATTTTTAAGTCATCCGCATATAATAGAAATTTAGAGTGCGTAAAGCAATTGCAAATGTCATCAATAAATAAAACAAAGAGCAGGGAACCTAATATGCTTCCTTGGGGCACTCCAGAGGAAGCGATAAACGACCTAGAGGAAACGTTATCAACTAAAACTTCACACTTACGCGGCGAAAGGTAGGATTTTACCCAAGAGAGAAAAACAGAATGAAAACCGAGACCGGCTAATTTAGCAATTAAAAGAGAATGACTAACTTTACCAATAGCTTTTGAAAAGTCCGTATAGATGGTATCAACTTGAGTACGTTTATTGAAAATGGACAGACAGAAATCGGAAAAACAGCGAGATTTGTGACAGTGGACCTGCCCGACATAAACCATGCTGGTTGACTGAAATTAGCCTCTTGGTTGCGAAATATAATTTTTCTTTTATCACGAATTCAAACAATTTTGAAACTGTTGATAATTTAGAAATTGGCCTATAATTAGAACTAAAAAAAAAATCAGCAGAGATTTGCCGCTTCTAAAGAGGAATTAGCTTGAGCACCATCACGGAAAACATTCGAGGAAATACTGGCACACAATCTCTTTGACTTGACATAACGTCAAAAAGCCTTCGGGTTCGATTTAATGTCCGACTCGAATTTACGAATATAATTTCTGTGAAGTGTTTTACTTAGAGATTTCAATTCACTCGAGTAATGTTAATATCTATCTTTATGATGTAAGGAGTTCGACTGCTTAAATTTTTAAAAAACCTGTTTCTTGATTTTCTTTAACTCTTTCGTATACTACGGTACCTTATAGCAGCTTTCTTTAGTTTGCGGTATAGTCTTAAAACAGATTTCGTTTACCATATGCTTAAAAGTATTAAAACATTCGCCAACTTCGACTCCGACAAATATCGAGTCCCAGTCTAGCTGCGAAATTTCACTATTGATTACTTCACAGTTGCAATTATTATAACAAAAACTAGTAATGTGGTTGACTTCACGAATAGCTTTAGAATGGTAAAATTCCTGCTGTTGTACCAGTGAAACATGATGTAGACTGGGCCCGATAAGATGTTGAAGCATTCTTCCAGTAAAAAACTGATATTTTCATTTATAAAGATAAGATCTAAAATTTTAGAAAGTTTATTTTCAAAACAATTGGGGTGTTCACAGTTCGTTCCAAATAGTGTCTCAAAATGTAGACGTCTACATTTTCAGACACAATTTGGAACGAACTGTGAACACCTCAAATTTATCTGAGTAAGATTAATGCTTAACAGACTGTCAACTACATATTTGGGGTGTTCACAGTTCGTTCCAAATAGTGTCTCAAAATGTAGACGTCTACATTTTCAGACACAATTTGGAACGAACTGTGAACACCTCAAATTTATCTGAGTAAGATTAATGCTTAACAGACTGTCAACTACATATTTGGGGTGTTCACAGTTCGTTCCAAATAGTGTCTCAAAATGTAGACGTCTACATTTTCAGACACAATTTGGAACGAACTGTGAACACCTCAAATTTATCTGAGTAAGATTAATGCTTAACAGACTGTCAACTACATATTTGGGGTGTTCACAGTTCGTTCCAAATAGTGTCTCAAAATGTAGACGTCTACATTTTCAGACACAATTTGGAACGAACTGTGAACACCTCAAATTTATCTGAGTAAGATTAATGCTTAACAGACTGTCAACTACATATTTGGGGTGTTCACAGTTCGTTCCAAATAGTGTCTCAAAATGTAGACGTCTACATTTTCAGACACAATTTGGAACGAACTGTGAACACCTCAAATTTATCTGAGTAAGATTAATGCTTAACAGACTGTCAACTACATATTTGGGGTGTTCACAGTTCGTTCCAAATAGTGTCTCAAAATGTAGACGTCTACATTTTCAGACACAATTTGGAACGAACTGTGAACACCTCAAATTTATCTGAGTAAGATTAATGCTTAACAGACTGTCAACTACATATTTGGGGTGTTCACAGTTCGTTCCAAATAGTGTCTCAAAATGTAGACGTCTACATTTTCAGACACAATTTGGAACGAACTGTGAACACCCCAATTGTTACGATTATCCTTTAACCCTTAACCGGATTTCCCAAATCTTCCGGTTCGTATCGCTGGATTGTTAAATAAATGCTAACGATGACCGAATTGTAGTACAATTAACTTTATTGTACAACAAACAATTTACAATACTTGCTAATACAGTAAAAACTCTTTACAATACTTGTTAAAGCAATAACAACGCTTTACTACTTGTTAACACAATTAAACTTATAGCTTCCTTATTCGCAACTCAATTCTCCGCTCACTTTACTTGTAGCTTGCTGACTTGTAACTAACTCACCTCGTGGTGGCGGCGCCCTTATATACCTGCGCTGGCACTTATGGCAACTCTAGAACATTCTGAAGTTTATCGCTCATTCTCTTTCTCTCGCTGTTCGCAGTGTTCATCCAACTTGACGTTTCTCTTTGTGGAACATTCTACGTCATTCTTCGAACATTCTGCCTATTTCTCGTTGTTCGCTTTGTGTTGCCGCAGTATTCGCCACAATATGACTCAGAAAAACTAGTAATTTCTGTAGAAAATAAGGCCAAACTTGCATCCATATACGCCCACTCAATATTACAGAGGTTGAAATACCTAGAACACACTCTATCACTAGTACGTTTTG